AACATCTTCGTCAGGTCCATATTGATCCCAGAAGGGAGGTCAGTTTGGATGAGATGGAAAAGCTCATCAAACCAGCCGAACAAACAATCCCCTTCAAGACAGTGGAACCAAGCTGGCAGAAAGTTAACAGCTTTCTAAAGAAAGCCAGAGGAAAATCGGCTCCAGGACCAAATGGCATCTCATACAATGTTTACAAGCATTGCAAAAGGCTCAGGAGACAACTCTGGAAGGTACTGATAGTGGCATGGAAGAAGAACTACCTTCCTGATGACTGGTTGATTGCAGAGGGGTGCTTCATCCCTAAGGAGGAGAACTCTTCAGGGATCAAGCAGTTTCGCACCATCTCACTGCTCTATGTGTAAGCTTAGCTCTTCCTGGGGATCCTGGCAAAGAGGTTGACAACCTTTATGTTGGAGAACGGGTACATGGACACTGCGGTACAAAAAAGGGGCATTGCATGCTGCCTTGAACACACCAGCGTTACCTCCAAAATCATTGAGGATGTGAAGAAAGACCATGGCAACCTGGCAGTACTGTGGCTTGATCTGTCAAATGCTTATGGAACAATACCCCACAAGCTAGTGGAGCTGACGCTGAAGACCTACCATATCCCTGAGCGATTTCAGGCACTTCTACACTACTACTTCGACGGTTTCAACATGCGTTTCACCTGTAGGGAATTCACCACCAACTGGCAGAGACTGGAAGTGGGCATTGTCACGGGCTGCACAATTTCAGTGATCCTGTTTTCCGCAGCAATGAACCTTCTCGTCAAAACAGGAGAGAAGTTGCGTCGAGGTGCAGTACTTGCAAGTGGAGTCCAGATGCTGCCCATTCGAGCATTTATGGACGATCTCACCATAACAGCAAGATCATTACCAGAAGGAAGATGGATTCTGGAGGACTTGGTTGAGATCACCAATATGGCAAGGATGGAGTTCAAACCGGCAAAATCTAGAAGCCTGGTTCTGAAGAAAGGGGCGCGTTCAAGATTGGTACCACTTCAAAATCGGAGAGAACACCATCCCAACTGTCCAAGAAAAGCCTGTGAAGTGCTTGGGGAAGTGGTACAGGGCGGACCTAAATGACAGGCAGAGTGTGAAGGAGATGCTTAGCCAGGCAGGAACCTGGATGACACCTCTCGAGAAGTACAAAACCTGGGGTTCTCCCCAGACTGCTCTGGCTTCTCCTGGTCTACGAGGTACCTGTGTCCACTGTTGAGGGACTGGAGAGGAAGTTGAACACCTACCTAAGGAGATGGTTGAGCATCCCAAAAAGCTTTTGCTCCATCGGCCTGTACAGCACAGGCAGCAAGCTACAGCTGTTAATAACATCAGTGGTAGAAGAGTACAAGGCGACAAAAACATGCCAGGCCATGATGCTGCGAGACAGTAAAGACGAGAGTATGTCAGGCAGACATCGTCATCTGGACAGGCCGAAAGTGGTCAGCCAGCAGAGCATTAAAGGAGGCCGAGGACAGACTTCAACACGCAGGCATTGTCGGGTCGGTAGCCCAGGGAAGGCTTGGTTTGGGTTGCTTCACCAGAACAAGCTGGAACAAAGTGGACCCAAAGAAGAAGTGAGGCTTGGTGCAGAAAGAAGTCAGAAAGGTGGAGGAGGAAAGCCAGCATGTCAAGGCTGTAGCCATGAACAAATAATGTAGTTGGACTAAATGGGAGGGTGCGAGAGAGAGGGCTCTTACTTGGCAGGACATCTGGAGTACTGAAGGCCACCGCATCAAGTTCATTTTATGCTCTGTTTATGACGTCCTACCTACTCCCTCAAACCTCCACACCTGGGGAATGGTCAAGAGCCCAAGCTGCAAGCTCTGTGGAAGGACGGCTAACCTTGAGCACGTCCCCTCTTCATGTCACTCAAGCTTAGCAGATGGCAAGTTCTGGTGGTGTCATGACCAGATCGTTGCTCAATTGGCTGACGGCATCGAGCAGGCAAGGAAAAGGGCAAGACAGCTGTCCAAAGGGCCTTGTTTCATACATTTTACCAGGGTAGGAGAAAGTGGAGTAGCAGGAGGGAGGAGCAAGGGGGTCCTGGCCACAGCAAATGGCTGGGAGATGTGGGCAGACCTGAAGAAGCAGCTCAAATTCCCTGAGGAGATAGCCCACACTAGCCTGAGACCAGGCATTGTTCTGTGGTCTAAAAGACCAAACAGGTGGTGCTCATCAAGCTGACTATCCCCTGGGAAGAGAGGATGGAGGAGGCCTATGAGCATAAGCTCAATAAATACCAAGCCCTCATCCTAGAGAGCCAGCAAAATGGATGGAAGACCTAGAACCTCCCAGTGGAGGTGGGCTGCGGAGGCTTTGCTGGACGGTCGCTTTGGAGAGCTCTTGGACTGCTGGGAATTGAAGGGCTGGCCAGGAAGTGGCTTGTAGCCAACGCCACCAAGAGGGTGGAAGAGGCATCTCGCTTGATTTGGATGTAGCACTAGGGGCACTGGCAGAACCGAAGCACTGAGTGAACGAAGAACTGAATACAGAGTTTGGTGGCATTCAGTGGGGGTGGGTCCAGGACGCTGGATCTGCTGTTGAGCCCCTCCGAGGTGTCATGGGCTTAAATCAGCAAAACACCAGTGAACGCGGGTGCCCATTTGACAATCTGCTGAACCTACCCAACTACTATTCCAGTCACAGAGACCTAGTGGTGCCTTTAGGGAAGGAGAGAGAGAGAGAGAGAGAGAGAGAGAGAGAGAGAGATGCCACTGGCCCACAGATGGTGCAGGAGCAAGTACCTGTAAAGGTGGGCCAGTTGCGATATCCCTTTTTGTATTTTACATATGCAGTCAGAGAGGTGGGCATGTGTTAAGTTATTGAAGAAACAGGGAGTTGATTTACTATATTACAGAGTAAAACAAGAAATCTAATTTGTGAAGTTAAACAACCTCTGGATATTTTTTATGCTGTGTTCCAATAAACATGACATACAGATCTGGGAAGATTCTCAGTCATCCAGGTCATGGTGAAGCTTGAAAAAACCCTCTACCTGCAGTATATTAATCTCAGTGCTCCCCACTGATAGTTAGAACTGAAGAAGCCTCTTGGATGAGAGGCTTTCTTAAGCATAACTCAAAGAGTTTTATGGTAAACTGGATAAAACAAACAAGCAAATATAACAATTGCCTGTTTTTAATAGTAACAGAAAGCAGATACAGAAAGCATCTTATTGAGGAGCTAGAATTTGCCTCCTGCTAAGAGATGAAATGTTAGAATATCCTGTGAGTTCAAACTTTAGGATGCTTTGTCCCTTTTTAATGTTGTACTGAAAAAGTGCAGAATAAAGAAAATAATTTAATCATACTTTATGTAGAGTATTGGGCTTTACTTTGAGCTCGTTTTGCTGAGTGCCTCTGTCAATCAGTCCATCATTATTCTCATCTAGGCGTATCTCTCCTCTGACCCAACAGTAAGTTTCTTCATAGTGATCTTCATGGAAACCTTGGAGGTTTCTTTTTTTAAAAGACTTGGAAAAGTGACTTTATCCAGTTCAGGTCAAATTAGATTACATGACCTACACAATCACCCACTTTATATCTTTACAAACATGGTTTAAATGGAAAGATGTCAGTCTGAGAAGGAATGAATTCTAAATCTGTAAGATTGAGTAAAGCATTACTGCAGGTGTTAAACTGAAAATGATATCAAAAGAAAAAAAGTACAAATAAATCAGTTATTTCAACAGGTTTTAAATCAGCAAAAAAATTAAGATAAAAAAGTATACTTGAACTTCTTAAGAGCCATGTATGTAGATCATCTAAAAAACCAAAATTTTCTAAATAAGTGCCCCATTAATGTCAGTGTAATATGATGATGGGATTGTTAAAGTCATGTAAAAGTATTAAATGAAAGTCCCTGAATTCACAATACGTATTAGATTTCAGCACAGAAATATTCTCTTTATTATTAGTCAGGTGCTTATTTGCTGTAGTTTGATTTCCTAGAATATTTATTTCATTTTTAGCAGGAGACAAAGTTCAGCTCATGTAAAAGACGTTTTTTTTTTCCTATTTACTTCTAAAACCCCTTTATTATTATATTATTTGCCTGTTTGTTCTATCCAGTTTACCATTAAGGAGAACTGCATATGTCATGTTTGTTGGAGCAAAGCATAAATATTAAGCTTGAAGTTGGTTTTCTTCACACATTAGATTTCCTGTTGTAACTCTGTAATATAGTACATTTCCCACATTTTTTCCAATAACACATTTCCTATTCCCCCCAAAAAAAGTCTCCTCTGCATTTAACCTGCAAAATAATGTGTTTTCTGGGTTAGACATTTAACACGGCACAATAAAGTAAGCTGACTATCTGCTCTACCTGTTGCTGACTGTACGACTCTAACTCTAGTTTCCAGTCTTTGAACTTCTAAGTTCAACATCAAGAACATGGTGGAAGTTAGGAGAAATATCACTTATGTTTCAACATAAGCTACTTGAACAACTGACGTGATCAATGATTCACTGACTTTTACACATTGGTGCAGCTTTTCTATCAAGTGTGTCTGATGCTCTGTGAAAGTCAGAGCTGACAGAGCAGCAGCTGGTAGCCCCTCTAATCAGAATGACATGTGGACCAACTATTCATTTATACAACTTGGATCACTTCAACTGTATTTACAATTATTTCTGGGGGGATGGGGGATGTGGGAGAAGACAGAGCTTCAGCAAATTTACAGAAATAAGCTGAGATATATTAAGATGACAGAATATTTCTTACTTGAAAGCTTATATGTGCGACTTAATTTCTGTTTCTAGGTCTAGAGAGGTGGAACATAATTCCTTATTTACAACAGTAGAAGAAAAAAATAAGTAATTATGTTCCCCTTTGATAAGAGAAATCGATTTGTGCAATGACTGAAAAACTGTTCAACTAGTATTTATTTAAAACATATTTTTATATAACTGAAGGTCAAACAGTTTAATTGGGATAATAGTTGCTTTTTCCTGGTTTTAGCATTTGGTGTAAAAACCCAAATTCTGTCAGTACTTACAGAGCTTTGTTTGAAGCTTTGACCACTGGCAGCAGCCTGAGAAGAGCCTCCTCTGAAGCAGAGTATTTCTTCAGGTCAAACACATCCAGATCTTCTCCTGATGTCACTAAGATGAAGGCCAGGGCTGACCACTGAGCAGGAGACAGTTTATCCTTAGAGAGACTTCCTGATCTCAGAGACTGTTGGATCTCCTGGACCAGAGAACGATCATTCAGTTCATTCA